ACATAAAAATAGATGAAGCTGACTGAACCTTCCTGTGTGAATTTAAAAATAACTAAAACTTCAAACATGTTTACGTAAAATAAATAAAAGGAACATTCTGAAAGTGTATTTGAGTAAACAATGTTTCCCAGATATATGGGTACGTGCAGAAATTTGAGATCACTCGGTTTCCGACATACAGAGGGTGTTGAAGTTTCTGATGAAAATATTTTTTTTACGTTTTCAATAACATATGAAGAGTACTACTAAATATTTGCAAATTTCATTATTTTTTGTGAGTATGAATCAACTAAAAATGCACATATTCGGTTCCTAAGTCTTTTCTTGAGATAAGATAGGATTCAATCATCCACGTTACAAAATCAATTTCATTTGTGGAAAGTCAAGACAAGTCAGAGATAAATAATAAAACACTATAAACGCTCAAAATATTTCCGAAGATGCTTTTCATTTCCAGCATAATGATGAATGAGGTGAAGTTTTGTAGAAGGTCTGCTGACTCAACAGGGTGTTTCACACGGTGGATGAAACATTAGAAGTATATTCCAGATAGCACCATATATTCCATGAATCTCCCTATCATATTCCTGTTGGAATATTGGAATATTCTAGGAATTATCCTGAATATTCTAGAATATCTGTGGAACAATATAATATGTCCAAAATAATATTATTCCATTTGAATGTTCTTGGAATATTCCATAAACATCTCGATAAACATATTCTGAAATAAAAAAAGAGACCCAAGATGGCTTGAGCCCGTGACTTCCAGACTATCAGACCATTTCAAATTCATTTTATTCACTATTTCTCTAATTACATGAACAATATCGAATAGAACAACCACAATCAAAAAGGTGTATAAATAAAATGATGATGATACAAGCATTTCGAGGGCTTCTGAGGGTTGTTTCGGCAGCCAGGGTGAGTTACAATTCCTCCGCGCAGTGCGGAGTTGGCTGGTGTTAGGCAAGAGGGCGGTTGTTCCCTGATTAGAGCCCTGACACATGAGTCCCATCTCCTGAAGCTATGCTTCTTTCAATGAGCGATCTCCGGACCAACGCCTTAACCACTATACCAGTAATCGAATTGAATAATATTGTACATAATAATTTCTTGCTCGATCGCTTGTAAGAGCGTTGTTCAGAATCGGATCATGAACACTTTTCGATTCAAAATAGCCTTACATATAATTAATGTTTGATAACACACATCTCTGAAATAATGATTACACAATTTGATTGAAAAATATGGGAATATTCATGGAATATTTCACGAATATACATCACAGAAAATTCCGTTGGGATTACTTCATGATTATAGACCACAGAACATTCAGGTGGGAATATTTCATGAATATTCAACGGAATATTCAGTTGGGAATATTCCTAGAATATTGTTATCTGAATATTCCCTAACAATCCAACTATAGAACATTCTGAGAATATTTACTACTGAATATAGCTATTACTTTATCGATTTATCGAATAACGATATATAATTCAGAAAAAACATCGATATATCGATAACACTATAGATTCATCGATATATCGATAATTTTTTTTATGTTCTGGTTCCCACGAAAAGGAATATCTTGTAATGTTCAGAGAATATCGTGAGAACCAAGGGAAATGAGGTAGTAATTGGTGTTCTTAAATTTCTGGAGGTTATATTCCTGTAGAATTATTTCCCAATATATTGGGAAAAATAAATGTATTATTTTTGTTGCCTTCATTATATTTAGACAATAGTTATAATATTTTGAAAATTAATTTCTAATTGTTTTTGTTAGGTTCATATAAGCATGAAAATATATTGCGTAGGTAGGTGGTTAGGTAGGTAGGTAGTTTTGATGCTATTTAATTAGTTTGGTTGAGGATTCTATAACCTCTGGTTTGGAGAAAAAATCAGATCATTTCGAGTTAGGCCTGGAAAAATCGATATATCGATATACAGGGTGTCCATTGACTCGATGCCCATAGCTTGAGGGCATATTCCTTGGGTTATGAGAAATTGAATACTTTGCTCACCGATGGATTGAAAGAGATGGTCCAGCTCTTTGGCCTCCAAGGTCACCTGACCTAACGCCTCTCGACCTTTATCTTTGTGAACACAGGAAAAGTCTAGTGTATTCAGATAAATCACAAACCAGAGATGACCTTATTTAAAATACCGTAGAATGGGGATACTTGAAACATTTTTCAGATTCAAATACACGTAGCAAAGTGTTTGTTCATGGTAGGGAATCTTCCCAGTCCAATAAGATGTATGAGTTGATGTACTATAATTATACAAATATTCGTCTTCTAGTTCAGTCGTTAGGAAGATATTTGAAAAAAATATCGATGTTCCAAGTTACCCGCAGATTTGAAAACTTGGAACAGAAAAACAAAAGTCTCGTTGTAGTCAATTTATCGACTCGTGAGCACAGTATTCATTTTAGTGTTATCTAAATCAATCCGGAATCAGTTTTTGGTTGAGTAATCCAATAAATGAATTATTTGAAAAAGTATATGAATGCATTTTATTAAAAACACAAAAAATCTATTGAATATAATTCCTAACAGCAAATAGGACCAGTAAAATCTCATTTAGCAAAAAAATCTCATGTATGAACTCAACTCAATCTCATATATATGGTGGTGTTGGTGGGGAGTTCAGGGGGTTAATGTTATGAGGTAGTGGATGGTCACAAAACGGTGAGTACAATCATTCGCACATGTTCCAAGTTTTCGGCAATTCCGTACAACTCTGACTTTCGTAATGAAAAAAAAAATATTGGCAACACTGTTCAAAGTTGAGCAATGATATCGCAGCATTTCGCTAGTGAAATGGTTACTAAGCATAAGTTACATGGAATGAACGCCGTATATTGAATCGATCATGTCTTTTGACTTGAAGCTTGTAATTCTATTTTTTTCTGTCATATCGCTGCTTGTAGTTTCAATAAGATAAACAACATTCCTGAAACAATATTTTGAACAAAAACTTCAGATAAATTTGTCTAAGTGTAAGTGTGTGAGTGTAAGTTGAATTTAATATTGCTCATTACTCCTCGACTACCTACATGTACATGTAATTTTGGAGAAAAGTGAATAAAGAACTTTAGACTTGAAATTATGCCCTCAAGCTATGGGCGTCGAGTCGCGGGACACCCTGATTTCAAAAATATCGATATATTGATAACTATCGATTTATCGATAACTATCGATTAATCGATAGATACCGATTATTATCGATATATCGACAAATATAGATGAACATCGGTAAATATCGATATATCTATAAATATCGATGATATTTTGATGAATATCGATAACTATCGATATACCGATATAATATGTAACTTATCGATACATATATTTCGAATTATCGATAATCGATATGTGAAATCCAAATCGCGCAGCCCTACTTATAAAGTTGAAAACGTAATAAGTACGTGAAGAAAAGTGGTGTCTTTCTATCGGCATCTGGCGGCAAAGGATAGAACAAAATAGAATAGAATAGAATAGTTTTATTTGACCAATTTACATATAGTTTTTGGCTAGTCATGTACAAATACAAATTCATTAAAACAACGAAGTTTGAGTATATATAAACATAAAAAATAAAAACAATAGATGAAACACAAAAATATCTTAGATGTATGAACAAATAGTACTAACTCGCACACACAATGAAGTTCAAGTCTGTCTGACAGACATTCATGCATTACAAATTGAGTGAATCAAAATTGGTACCCAAGTGTTTTCCAATAAGGACTCATATAGAGACAGTAAATAATCTGCTGAATTGTAATATCACGACTGTATCAAAATATAGTTTTTATAACTGACTTAAATCTGGAACTATTCAGCGATTTTATCTTCTCAGGAAGAACATTATAGAAATTCAAATCTAAATATTTTTTCGCCAATTTTGAAAATTTGAAACCTCGTTTGAAACGCGGTAATCTGAGATTATCTACTTTCCTAGTCTGATAACTAAATACCTACATGAATTAGTTATGAGATCATTTTTGTTCTTATGTATCTTTTGAGGCGGCTCGGTGGTCGAGAGCGTGAAGGCGCTGAGTTCGTATGGGGACTCCCACCGAGACATAGGTTCGAATCCTAGTTAGGCCATGGATGTTTGTGTTTGTATGTATACTTAACCCCGCACAAGTTTCGACTTATGGGGCGTTTGGTCCCAGTGCTGGGACCAACGAGGTATGCAATTGCAAAAAAAAAACTCCAATAGGGACAAATATATAATGAAGGAAGAGGCATAATTCTGAGTCTTCTGAATAAAGGTTGGCAGTGATCCCTGAATTCAACTCCAGCTGCAATTCTGACTGTCCGTTTCTGAAGTTTGACAGTTTTGTGAGAATGACAAGAGTTACCCCACAGTAAAGTTCCATAGCTGACATTCGAGTTGAAAAGAGCAAAGTCGCATGTTCTAATGATATCAAACGATAATAATTGATTTTTCAAATTTCTCGACACGAAAATTGAAATTGAAAGATTTCGACTCAAATGTTCGATATGACGTACAAGCCCAATTGAGTTTATCATCTATGATTACACCAAGTAATTTGACATTGTCACCCGTTATATTCTGGTGATTGGTAGAAAAAATAAGTTTTTGAGTTTTATCCTCATTTAGCTTCAAATTATTTGAAGCAAACTATTGCTGAGCTATGGTAATAGAGTCAGCATTCATGGAATTCAAAATGTCCAAATCAGTTCAAGAATCAATTGAAGTTGTACCATTGTATGACTTTGGAAACATATAATGAAACAGGTTATTTACGTAAACAATAAAAAGAAGGGGCCCTAGAACATATGGGGGGATATATATCCCTCTTATCTCCCCTGTAGGTACGCCACTACGAACACGGGCTTCCCAATATGAAAAATGACATGAGAAAAGTCATATCAATTTGGTTCTCGACATATATGATTGACTCATCGTATGGTAGAATCAACCCCATATAACGTGAGCATGATTTTCTGTTTCAGTATGAACAACTTCTCGATATCGGAATCAGCCCTCCATCAGATGAGCCTATCTCCGAAAGGGTCTGACAGGTTTTCGAATTATTTCCCCACAGCGAGCAGCAATAATGTCAACGTCAATTCCAACAATTCCACATCGTCAACAGTAGAAGAAGTATCACCTCTGATAACAGAAAAATCGTCACCTATTCGTAAGAAGAAATCTAGGCTGAAGAAAAAAACAGCTGTAAGTTATTTTTCTCCAATTTTGACATGTGGTTTGACACTTTTCAGATAAGACAGAAGTTTTGTAACGTCTTACAACCAGTTGCGTGAAGTAAAATATTACATAACTGGTGATGGAATGTTCATTTTAACACCAGTTACGAAATAATAAAAAGTAGTTAAAAAAACTGAAGGAACACGCTTTTATAGATATCCAAATTGAAAAGATGTAGAAAATAAAATAATGCAAGTGTGTTGATAAATACACAACATAGAAAATATTATCACCTCCGTAATCAGTACATTCCAGAAATGTTGTGTATTTATCAACACAATCTTATCATTTCATTTTCTTCATCTTCTTAGTTTGGCTATCTATAAAAGCGTGTTTCTTTAGTGTTTTGAACTACTATTTATCTTTTGTTTTTTAGTTCGGCTAACTACTAAATCGTTCAATTTGGTGTTTTTATATTTTTTGTAAGTAAGTTGACGAAAGAATCATAATCTCCTAACCCGAAAAATCCCAGATAAGTACTGATTTCCAATATAATTGCATCATGATTACAAATTCCGCCCGCCATATTGTATCCGCCATATTGAATTCTCCAATGTTGACAAAAGCATCATAATCTATGACCTCGAAAACATCCAGATACCAATTTTGAATCGAATCGGATCAAATAATTACAAAACTCGTTCCCCGACCACCATATTGACTTCGCCATCTTGAATTTTTCAATTTCAACGAATGAATCATAGTCTCCGACCCCGAAAACCCCTACAGATACAAAATTTTAATAGAATTGGACGATGATTACAAAACCAGTCGCCGCCATATTGAATTTTCCAATGTTGACAAAAGCATCATAATCTATGACTTCGAAAACTTCCATATACCAATTTCAAATCGAATCGGACCAAATAATAACAAAACTCGTCCTCCGACCACCATATGGACTTCGCCATCTTGAATTTTCCAATTTTGACGAATGAATCATAATCTCCGACCCCGAACACCCTTACAGATGAAAAATGTTGGTAGAATTGGATCATGGTTACAAAACTCGTCCGCCATATTGAATTTTCCAATTTTGACAAAAGCATCATAATATATCTCACCACGAAAACCCCCATATACAGATTTTGAATAGAATCGGATCATAATTACAAAAGTCGTCCGCCATATTGGACCTGCCATCTCAAATGTTCGAATTTTGACGAGAGAATCATAATCTCCGACCCCTAAAACCCCCAGATACCAATTTTGAATAGAATCGGATCATAATTACAAAACTCTTTCGTCATTTTGGATCCGTCATCTTGAATTTACCAATTTTGAGGAAAGAATCGTAATCTCCGACCTCGAAAACCCCTAGATACCAATTTTGAATAGAATCGGATCATAGTTACGAAACCCGTCCGTCATTTTGGAGCTGCCATTTTGTTCTTTGTCTAACAAAAATTTGATGATGCCTTGCCAAATTTCAAATCAATCGCTCCTTTTGAAGTGGGCCAAAATCGAGTCCAAAGGAGTCGGTTACATATACATCCATAGCTGACACGGCAAACATTATTTCAAAAAGAAATTTTTTCAGATAACTATTTATCAAAAAACTTTTATCATTTTATTTATACTTCTTTTTGGTTTGATTATCCATAAAAGCTGGATTCTTCAGTTTTTCAAAGTATTCTATTTATTTTCTACTTCTTTTTAGTTCGGTACTCTATATCTCTTCATTTTTTCAAACTACTCTTTATATTTTCTACTCACTTCTTTTCAGTTTGGCTATCTATAAAAAAGGGTTCCCTTAGTTTTTCAAACTACTATTTATTACAATAGCTGTCACCCGGCAAACGTTGTTGCTATTACATTTATTTCTAGAAAATATTTTTTTAGTTAAATATTCATCAACACACATTTTATTATTTTGTTTTCTACTTCTTCTTAGTTTGGCTATCCATAAAATCGTGTTTCATCCATCTTGAATTTCTCAATTTTAAAGAATAAAATCATAATCTCCGACCCCGAAAACACCCAGATACAAATTTTGAAAAAAATCGGATCATAATTTCAAAACTCTTCCGCCATATTGGATCTGCCATCTTGGATTTCCAAATTTTGATGAAAGATCCATAATCTCCGACTATGAAAACACCCAGATACCAATTTTGAAAAGAATCTGATCCTAATCAAAAAACTCGTCCGCCATATTAGATCCGCAATTTTGATATTCCTAAATTTGACGAAGGAATCATAATCTCCGACCTCGAAAACCTCCAGTTACCAATTTTGACAGAATTTGACCATAATTACAAAAGTCGTCTGCCATATTGGATCCGCCATCTTGAATTTCAAAATTGCGACGAAAGAATTATATTCTCCGACCACGAAAACCTCCAGATACAAATTTTGAATGGATACTGATCATAATCAAAAAACTCGTTCGCCATACTGGATCCAAATTTTGACGAAAGAATCATAATCCCCGACTCCGGTCGTCTCGATGGTAACGCTCCGGTTCGATAGTCGCACCGAATAGTCAGAAACTGAAAACAAATTGAAAACCAGTTGAGTCAATTGAAAGTTATGAAGAATCAAAATTGATCGGAGAATTCTCAATTTTATGTTTTGAGTGTTGAGCAACTCAGTCGCTGAATCCCCGCTTTTTGAAAATGTTTTTTTTCTTCATTTTACTTGATTCTTTGAGATTTTCTCTCCTCGTTTCTATAAAATAAAAATATTCGTATTATTTCAATAAATTTGTAGTGGGACAAATCAGCTGAATTGCCCCAAAATGTAACTGCGTTCAACAAATTTTTCTATCGGGGAGTCTAAAAGAAAAATCCAGTAGCTTGTCAGTGACATACTGATGTTGGCATATGAATGAGTGATTTTAGTCTTTGAATGAGTTACAGGATGTTTTTATTAATTGATCTTGAATCTACCATTTTCATGTTCAGTTTTCAGTAGTGAATACCATGTTCTATCTATATCAACTGAACAGGAAGCAATGCTATTGTCTCCGCTAGAAGAATGCAAGCGGATTCCTTGATTTTTCTTTTTTGGTTGTTATCTTCCTTTCCTATGACAGTATTTTTTTCTTCAACTCGTTCATTCTTTCATTCTATCTACCAGTTCGGCAAATCAGATACCCACCTCCTCTACAACCCCGCTGCAGAAACCATCAGAACACACCTCATCAAATCGGGATCTTTTCCTGGATACAGTTCACATCTCACCAACAACGACAGGACAGCCGACAATGACCTTGTTACTGGCCACATTTCGATCCAAGGGGTATACTGCGACACCTCCACCACTAGTGGTGCCGACAGTGAAGAAGATAACAACACAAGGTGAGAAAGTCATTACTTTTTTCATCTTCACTTGATTCTAATAGATTTACTTCATTGGATATTGTGATGAACGGAAATATTGAACAAAATTATTACGTGAACTGGAATTGCGGAGTGGAAAATATGTTGGATGTTGGATATGTAAAAACTTCACAAACGATAAGATTTCCACAAAATTCTTATACACACAACATGTTTCGCTAACACAGTAGCTTGGTCAGGTGATATACTGGTACAATGAACTAAACCAACGTTGGCTTGCTTAACTTTTATATATCCTACTTTCCCAACTTGGAGGATTATTTACCTGTGGACAGGATCGATAAACCTCCATTTTCGGAAATTAGGCACAATATCTACATTAAATTACGGTATACCGGATTAACTTAAAAGGTGTTATAGATAGCAAATAAATATTATTACCTACTAAGAAAACAAATTCAACAGTGGTGAACAATTGATCGTTAAGTAAAATGTCAAAATTTTCGAGTTTGTTGATTTCTAATGATTCCAAAATGATTGAGTTTCATTCATTTATTTTCTACATGTAGAATTTCGAAATTATCGTCAAAACTATGGTTTTCTTCTAATATATGTTTGGCGTATGTTGAATATGTTTTCTTCTTTAAAAAATTCATCTTCTACTCAAAAATTTTGACATTTTACTTAACGATCAATTAGACCTCAGTAGTTCACCACTGTTGAATTTGTTTCCTGAGTAGGTAATAATATTTATTTGCTATCATACCTTTCAAGTTAATCCGGTATACCGTAATTTAATGTAGATATTGTGCCTAATTTCCGAAAATGGAGGTTTATCGATTCTGTCCACGGGTAATTAATCCTCCAAGTTGGGAAAGTAGGATATATAAAAGTTAAGCAAGCCAACGTTGGTTTAGTTCATTGTACCAGTATATCACCTGACGAAGCTACTGTGTTAGCGAAACATGTTGTGTGTATAAGAATTTTGTGGAAATCTTATCGTTTGTGATGTTTTTTCATTTGCCATGGATTTCCATCAAGTAACGGCAGAGTCTATTCAAGAAATATGTTGGATATAGTACAGTAAATTATTGTTTCTAATGAGAATAACCAATGTCAAAAGCGTTTGCAAGTTCTATGTCATTAACCCCTTCCACTCCAGGTATCCAACATATGGATATTTGGGATATGCCTCACAGGTACCATGATATCCATAATATACGGATATTAGGGTATATTTTGTTCGTTGGTATGTCTAGAGGTGGAATGGCTAGATCTGATGTCTCATTACGTCTGGTATGGCGAAATGATATTTTCCCCACCCAAACTATGCAATTCTAGGATATTTATTTTGCTCACTATCGATCAATATCTATATAGACACATACATACTAGAATGTATTATTTTTTGTTCAATTGCCTCTTGTTCGATATTTGTATTACCCAAAATATAAATAAAATATTCTTACATCATAAGTCATGGGGTAGAAAATAATGATACCCATATGCCGATATACTGCGGTATATTGTGAATTTTTAACGCTAAGCCTCCATCTTGTTTTTGATTATCCTATTTTAAAACGCGAAGGAATGAATGAGGATTAGTGGCAAAGCACATCACAAGATTTCAGAAGAAAACCTTATCTGGTATGTGCGACAGGCTTTTCTGAATGCAGCTGGAGTGGAAAGGGTTAATAATGACCCAAAATTCAACCCAGTTATTATCAAGTACCTATTGTTTTAAGGAATATTTGGTATTGTTGATAAAACATATTTACCTTGAAGAATATTCACTATAGTCCGCACTAGTTGATCTGAACATTGTCGACAGAGACTAGACTCGAGGACTCTTCGAATGAAATTAAACTCTAAGAGCGTGATTGAATCAAAAGGAAACTCATATTGAACAGAAGAGGGAAATTTTAAGTAGGGATTATGGAAGAAATTCAGCCGAAAGCCAATCAAAGAGAGAGTAATAAATCGCCGTACATTTTTCCCTTCAACATCAAAAAAATTCAAGGATTTTGCATATGGATTTTAATCTAAATGAATATAATAATAGCCATTATAAAAAAAATCGGCAAAACATTATCCTCGAAATTCATTGATATTTGTTGATATATTGAATCGCATTATTTATTGCCAAATTATTGGCCTTTGATTTTGGCGGTGAGGTCTTTAATCATATGTTAATTACCCATAAATATATCAGTTTTTTTTTGTAGTCGGCATCAATACACTAATGGCAATTTTTTCCACCTTTTTCCCACCACGATTCACTATGAAAGCTATGCTAAAAATCAGTCTGATATCAGTCGTGAAGCAGTATTGATCAGTCAAAAAACTGAAGCTAATAGTTTCAAGTTCCGTTTAGTTAGTCGAAAAGTGTTCAGTCAGCCTCGGAATAAAAGTCCATTTTGAACGAACTCTTGATCGAAGTCTTGAAACAGTAGTTTTGTTATACAGTCTCGTTACACGTTGTTATGTGATTGATATTGAAAATTGCTCAGAAGAACGTACCTAGTGAACCTTTTGTGTTCATGTCATATGTGGATCGCTGTTCACTTAACCTTCATAGAACTGTATTAACTTTCGAGAGCTACCGTTACCACCGATAAAACAGTGCAAGTGTACATCGTCGACAATGTTTGAACAACCAATATGTATAAGCATCTTCATATGTATCAACTTGTGAACTCTGCCTGTCCATAAGCTGAATCACTGAATAGGGATCTAATATGCGTATCATTGTATACACACAAACATTCTCTTCCCTGCCTAAATATTCACGAACCCGGTGAATTAAGTAAGTTTGTGAGTACCCGGCATATGTCAACCCTAGAGAAAGTCGGCGCTTTATAATATCTAATATTTTTATCTTTCGATAACCTGGCTTGTCCTCTTTTCCCGGTTTGGTGATACTTTGTCAGTTACGTCACACCACCAATTACTGATGTTACTGTGACGTTCGTTTTAGGACGTGACAATCACATCAACATGATTTCGATAACACGTGATTTATTTGAGTAAGTATCGCATACATAACATCTTTGAAGTTGCAATGACAATGAGGTCTAAAGATCACATTGATGTGATGAACCAATTTAGTGGTGTTCGGTTGTTAAATAATTCATCAACAATATGCTATTTGAGTGATTTTGCTTACTTTTTGAAGAAAAATTATAGAACCACCAATTTGAAGATGTCGTGTATTCGAATACCCTTAATGAACCTAAGTAGTGCATCTACCGTGCCACCAGCGCACTTGATCCCTATTTTACCAATGCTGGATATACAAGCTCGAATACGTCAGGAAAGTGACGTTCTTGTGACGTTTTCGTTACGTTTTTTTTTGACGTTTTCTTGAAGTTTTCGTTACGTTTTTGTGACATTTTTGTGATGTTGTCGTGAAGTTTCCGTGACGATTCCGTAATGTTTCCGTGACGTTTGCGAGCTCATACATCCAGCAAGGATAATATACATAATTGAGTTGGTGGTGCAGTAGGTACACTACTAAACTACTTATTTTTTTTTTAGCACGGTAAACTTCAAATACGGCGAAAAAACTAGATACTTACATGGAGTGGATAGCAGGGATGACAGTCCTGGTAAAATCAGTTTGAAGAATGCAGAAGAGCAATCCAGTTCACTGTCTGAACAAGCATGGGACAATTATCAGGTATGTGTTTGTCTGGGGAAGTTATACTATCAATGTGAAAAAGCCACTACTCTTGACATGTTTCATTCTTCTTTCTTGCATCTTGTAGGTGCAATTTCAACTTTTAAAGAAAAAAAACATCATGTTATAAATTTAAGCTCCTTTGATATAATGGAGAGACAATTATTACACTGTATATTGTTACAGACCTCAAAAGATGTTCCATATACCATATAAATATGTTTTGTTTCAAATTATGAACTCCCATCCGATGTCGATCTTAATCCAGGTCCTTATTTGAAAAAAGCTTAATCTTTGGAAGAAGTCCATGGTAACTCAAAGTGGAGTGGTGTAGTTCATAGATGAAAACCTAAAGTCATCTCCACAACATTCATTAGAATGATCAAAGATCAATCGTAAAGGAACATGTTTCGGGCTCATATAAGCCCATCATCAGCCAATAGAAAGTATCATAGTTATGGAAATGAAAAAAGTAGACACACAAATATTATAGTTAATAACAAACAGGGAAATATGCTCCATGATTGTTACTGTAAATTGATATAAAATTAGGTTATGAATTTATTATACTATAAATTTATCGGTTGAAGGTCGGACTCTACCGATTTTGACAAATCTCAGCTCATTCAAAAAATATGCATTGTACAGTGAACAGTAAAACCTCTAGGAATGAGATAGTTCATGAAATGAACGAGAATGGTAGATAACGAGCGAAAAACAACTACTTTCTTGACTACATGCCAAGCAGAACATTGGATTACATCTTCTCCCTCGCAAGTGTTTTAGAATGATTCATGGATGCACATACAGTGTGCGTAACTCTCGCGAGGCGCTCGTTTATTGTCTCAATCATGAATAAATTCAACTCGTGATACTATTTTTCCTGGAAATATTTGTACTACAGCGCCTGCTATAGTTCAATTTCGCTCATGATATTGTTCCAAAACTTCTCGCCTGTGGCTCGAAAGCTTTGATAAACAATATCATTCGCGAAATTATTAGGAAACAAGTTGTCGTAATCATCGCCGAATATTTCCGGGAAAAGTGTTACACTTGTTACACTTCCAGGAAAACTATTTGTCGGAGCCGTACAGTGAATCACATGACTCGGACGCGGCGAGGCGGCTCCTGAACTTCGGCGAGGACTACAGGAACTTCATCGACAGCCAGTCCGATTGGTCGGCCCTTTCCGACATTTCCCCGCGGATGAAGAGGAAATCTAGGGTAGCGTCGAATGAAGAAGACTCGAACGAGGACGAGGAGTCCTTGAGGCAGATCATCAACGAATCGAAAGAACAACTGAAAAATGCGGAGGAGATTAGCGAGCAGATCAAAGCGGGGATCAATAATTTTCTGGTTACCAATGAAATAGTGAGTGTTTTAACCTTCCAGCGAGCGCGCTGTCGTAAAATTTACGGCACACTTCCCTCACTTTTATCAGTTGTGAGCGTTGAGCATCGAGGTATTCGAGCTCTAGTAACTACAGACGTTTCCGGTCTGTATACAGACCGGAAGTATTTGTTATCCTTCGATATTTGGATACTGTGAGTGATATCGAAAATTTTTGGGGATGAGGAACAGGAATTAACAATCAGAATTTATAATATCAACATGGCGGACGATTTTGTCATCTCTCGCAGATTCAACTGAAACTTCATATCCAATAAGAGGTTTCGAGTTCACAAATAATCGGAAATTTTCAATCAGGATTTGAAAATTCAATATGGTGGCTCTACAATGGCGGACGATTTTGTCATTTCTCAGTCGATTCAGAGTGTTTTGAGGTTGAGGTACAAGAGTTTATACTCAGAATTTGAAATTTCAAGATGACGGCTATAAGATATAACGATTTTGAGATTGCAAACAATTTTGCCAGTTCGGGTCGACTGTTAGTCAATATTGAAAGGTTTCAGAGGTTGAGGAATCGAAATTTCTCTACAATGTCGGACAATTAATTTTGTCGTTTCTCGTCTGATTCGAGTGAAAATTTATATTATAAGGGAATTTTCAAGATTGCTGAACAGGAATTCTCCAAGATGGCGGATGATTTTGTCATTTCTCATCCGATTCGATGACAAATTGACATCGAGAGTTTTCAAGGTTGAGGAACGGGAAATTCAAATCAAAATTTGAAAATTGAAGGTGGTAGACAATTCTGTAATTTTCTCGGTCTCTTCGACTGCAAATTTTTATCAAGTTTTGGGGTCGAGGAACAGGAATTTTCATTCAATTCCACGTAAAATTCAAATCATGGGAGTTTTGAGATTGGGGAACAAGATTTCTAATGAAAATTGGAAAATTCGAGATGGTGCATTTCTATGAGCTACTACTTCAACATATTTGAAGAAAAGCTCGGTATTATGGAGCAAGTGACACGGATCTGTATTTCATAAGGATTTTTTTTTACCAAAAAATGGAAAACTTTCTAGTAGTGAAGAATTCACTCTTATCACTGGATATCTTCAGAAGCTTTCAAGAAAAGTATTTCATTTTGTTTTCTATTGTGCAATCAAATTGATCAAACAAACATATTAGAGTTGGATGTTTTTTTTTTCAGGAAGAGCTTATTTCAACCTGTGATCGACATGTCAATATATTGGACCATTTGATAAAATCATCAGACGAGTACAAAATGTCAGTTGGAGATAAACTGGCCACAACCGGTGAGTAAACCCATTGTTAGAAAGTGTCAATAATACCGTTTTTCCACCATTAACGAGGAAAAATAATTATTTTTCAACAATTTCCTGTAATGAGAAGTAACACTTCTTCAACCTAGGTGAATAATGATGATGAATTTCCACCTAGGTTGATAATGAGGAATCATCACATTTTTCGTTACGAACAATCTCAAACAAATTATTTTTTGAACTCTCCAATGCATAGATGCAAAATATTATACAACGCTCTGTCGAATTCTATCGATATTGATATTTTCTCTTACTCACTTTCCAAATTTTCTTACATTTTGAAAAAACATTTCCTTGCTTCACCTACTTGATTTTGATATATTTTAACGTTTTAATATGTACTGAATAAAATTATTTCACCCTTGTTTGTATCAACACACTACAATCACTACATGTTGTACCTATACTCAATCATTTATAATTACTCCAATTATTGATTTTCATCAACTTTGTAATTGATATTCGATTTGTTTAGTTTTAATATATCTGTATGATGAGATATGACATATCTGTGAATACTGCTTTTGGGTTAGTCCCGTTTGTATTCCTATTCGTAAATAAATAAATAAATAAATAAATAAATGACAAACTGTCATAAGTATTTATCAATGATAAATGCAGTACGCCCATGTGTAGGTACCGATTTCTATGCAACCAATGAAAAATGAAACATTCATTATTTATCCAAACATAAACTGAATATTGTTAACACTGTTAAATTCACCACAGAAGCTGAAAATAATTTTGCGTTTGATTCTAGAATGCGAACAATAAATAAGATATTTTTACAATATTCCCGGAATGTTGCGTTAATGTTTCGCAATGAAACAAACATATTTCAAATCAATTAATCAATCAAACTTTTATTCAATAAGTTTTCTTCTACAATGAAAATTGAAAAAGAATCATAACATCATTGTAAAATACTAGCTAATTCAACAGGCTCGGTGGTCGAGAGCGTTAAGGCGCTGAGTTCGTATGGGGACTCTCACCGAGACCTAGGTTCGAATCCTAGTTAGGCCATGGATGTTTGTGTTTGTATGTATACCTAACCCCGCACAAGTTTCGACTTATGGGGCGTTTGGTCTCAGTGCTGGGACAAACGAGGTATGCAATTGCGAAAAAAAAAAAAAAAAAAAAAAAACTAATATATTTATTAAGAAAGTTAAACAATTCTTAATTTTTACACTAACCATCATCTTGAAAAAAAGAAACTGAGAATATTTACAAACAAAATTAAACATTGAAATATCATTAAAATGATCTGATTCCCAGCAAACATTGAACTAGCGGGAAAAGTCCGGCCTAGTGCAGGCTAGTCTGGGAAAGTGACGATGCAGGGGTATTGGTAATGGGCCGATGATTTTCCTATGCCAAGTAACCATCAGTTAAAAATACGATGATGGCCTTGTGATGGTAAGATGTCTGGAACTCATTGAATACTTACGAGATCTGGCCCTTTGCTGGCCAATTTCATGTCCGCTACTCATCCCTCTGGTGGACGTTCTGAGAACGTCTACATCAACAATCAGCTGATCAGTATTATATGTGACTAAGATGGCGGACTCTCGTGAGTGGTGATCGCGTACTAGTTTGTTTATGTCGAATCAATGTGGTCCTCTCTTTTCCTGGTGGTTATTTATGATGGCAGGAGTAATTTCTCAATTGATAATAATAGAAGACGGATTCTTTGACTATGATAATATTGAGTAAGTATCAATTTACCTACATAGTGTTTCGGATTCCATTATTAAATGCATGTGTTTGGTATCTCGTAATATCATATACCTAATGATCATAATAATTGGAGTTGGCTATACTTCCCCAAAAGCAACTATCATTTTTAACTAGTTTGTTGCTATCAAAAGCAATCTCAGGTTATGTGAACCTATTTCTATATTGAATAACTAAATAACAATAAGGTTTCAGCTACAGAAATACCTGTGCCAAGAATATAATGAGAATTGAAAAGCTCCATGTTATCACGTCATCAGACTATATTATCAAGTTATAAAATCAGGCAACTCATAGGCCACTAATATAAAACAAATGATGCATTTTATATTTCAGAAGTACCTCACAACGAAGAATCAACTTTGAAGGAATGCTACCCAATAAGATGTAAATACCACATACCAACCAGTAAGCAGTCACTCCAAGAAGTTTCATCGTTGAAGAACAGAGAGGTTAAGAAGATATCATTGTGTCATTCATAAAATTGTTTTTGTTGAAATCTGGTATATGTCTCATGGGAGGGTTATATCATGAAATAAAGAGGTACTAGAACTTTCAGATCCATTGAACCCCTAAAACCCCTACCCCTCCCCTACCTCGATAATATAAACAATGTCGTTAATTGGCCATTACAGTCCCATCATTTATGTATATGCTGGGCTTGCTATGGGAAACTCAATGTGTCGATTATGTTGTACTGGCCTTTTGCCGGGGAACTGAATATGATTGCTGGGTACCCAGCACTGGGACCAGCTGCCGGCCGCAGTGTACTGATATATAGAGTCCCGCATATGGGACCATATACTGGGCCGCTGATGTCAGGTATGGGAGAAATATATTAGGCCACTGATGCCCCATATCAAAATGTTTGCTGGGTTACTATAGAATAATTCACTCACATCATGATTCCAGGAGAAATTCATCAACTGAGTAAGTAATATGCTTTGCATTAAAAATTATTTGAGTTGCCTTTTGAACACATTAAGATTTGAAGACAATTCAATGTCTTCACTGAGATTATTATATAGCTTAACTCCATAGTACCCAATACAACAGTAGGGCCAGAAAACCTGATAAATTGTTCTCCCAACGTACTCCCTAATTTCGCCAAGAGATCAGATATACTGGGAGAAATATAACCATAGGGTGAGCCACAATAGGCCATAGGCCGCAGTGGAGGGCCTGACATGGGCCCACTCACGTTTAACCTAACCGAACCTACATGGGATGATTCTGTGATGCTGACAATTTACTATGAGGTAGATGCAATTGATTACAATTCATAGTGAATGAATTTGTTTATACTTGGGTATACTTGAAAAATTATTCCTGATATGTATTGAAGTTAGATAGATATACAAACTGGGCATTGTTAAAATATCATAATGTATGAATAATCGCCTGCAATGATGTCTGGATGATGCACCCCTGCCATAATTCTTATTGCTTTTCTCTGTATAATAAATACTTCGGGAGTTTTGGTAGATAAACCTCATTGTTCTAGACCATAAGCTATGACAGATTGAATCAAACTGTGATATAGAAGTTTGAGAACATCGAAAGAAACTGCTTGTCTCAATTGACAAAGTAGATATATATGTTTACTAAGCTTTAAATCAACACTATCCATATGATTATTCCAGGTTAGCTTATTATCAATATCGACCCAAAAAATTTTGTATAATTAACTGTCTGAACCGTATGTTTTTGCAATATTTCTGAAACAAAGCTGTGCTGTTTGGGTCGAATTTTGAAACAACCTGTATATCATCAAGTCTTGAATATTAGATGTGAATATTGCTCCTAAGGTCCCAAATCACTTATTCTCGGTATTATTTTCAGACTTACTGAATGGATGGCGAATAGTGAAAAGCAGAAGCATAGCAATGTTTGAGTATAGAAGAATCCGTAGACAAATACTGGACGCTAAATCATTGCTGGAGCTGATCAGCATGCCAGGAAAAAATGAAGCCTCCAAAAATTTGTATCCAGTTGCAGATATCCATAATGAAATTGACGCTTGCAATGTAAGTCTGTTTGATTTTTGTTCAAATCACCAAAAATCGCCGGCATGTTCACAGGGTGATTCGGAATAAGGAGCGCACCATACTAGGGATTTATTCTAATAGACTCCACAATTGAGATGTTTTTATTCTTTTTCTATTTTTTTCTCATGAGAAAATGATTTACAAAGAATCAACCCCCTCCATGGGCACGCCATTGGAATTACTAGATCGAAGAGATGTCACAAAGTTGACAAACAACCAACAATTGAAAATCATTTTTATTCAAACTTCTACACCCTGTAACTTGGAAAATAGATGACATAATGCTGTTTTGTCCATTTCCACTCATGGAGCAAGGTTGTCAAGTCATCAATTATAAACAAGTTAACAGAAAGATATGTGAGAGTTCTGTGGTTGAATGAAACATAATAGGAGGAACCCATAATATTGCATAGTTCATTCTTGACTTTTTCGAGCAACCAGAGCATGTCCAAATATTTCTCATTCTTCATAACAAGATATCATGTGCATGTTGGAGACTTGTCAACATTGTGCTGAATGCTGAAAACTGACAAGACCACGCCCACAAGTCATGCGCCGTGTATAGTCACGTTCACCGATTCAAATATCCTCTAGTGTGAATTAATATAATTATTACTTATACACACATCTATCATAAAGCAACAAGCCACAAATCATATGGAAACATTTTCAGAGAATTGAATTTTCTTTGCTATTTAGGAATATTACCAATACTCAATTGAGAATTCATGAATTATTGAATGAGTAATATTTCTGAAGTTCCCAATCGTATTTCAACACATGGCAACTGTGCTACGGTCTGCCCCTACCGAAGCCCCTACATAAGAAATCGTGGCGTCAGTTTTTACTGGCGGTAAATTTCTAGCCGTTTGGAAATTACTGTGGCATAATTGATGATAATTCTAATGGACTCCACAATGGGGGAGTGGACTGATAATGAATTATTGGCATTTAATTACTCCACTGTGTCGTTAGGAACCTAACTTAATTTCTGCAACACTTCTCAAGTTCTCACGCTTCTTTTATGTGAATAATGAGTCTATCCGTCTATGCTCATTTCAAACGTACAGTCATGGGCGCCATTTGACGATACGTCGAATAAATAATGACGTCAGATAATCTTTCATTTCCACTCATGAAGCAAGGTTGTCGAGTCACCAATTATAATCAAGTTATCAGTAAGGCGTGTAAGAGTCCTGTCGTTGAATGAAACATAATAGGGGGAACCCATGATATTATAGTTCATTCTCGACTTGTCCCTGTGAATGTTGACGACTACAGCCCCGGAGCCTTCACAAAAAAGCGGCAGCACAAAAAAGAGGCCCCTACGATAGAGAAACAAAATCTTTCGACTTTCGACGGGTAAACACTAGTGAAAAACTTTTCTTTCAATATTTTTCATGGAAAAGGTAAGTTCGTTGTTTTACCCTTATATAGTACTTTGGAGAAACATTATTATATTATTCTTAAATATTGAAAAATAATTTAATTACATTTGTTCACTTCAATCTAAAAATATCAATTTGTCGAAATGGTCCTGATAAGCAGTTGTTGCCATTTACTACCCATGCATCTTGATATAGAGTATCCCAATGGCTGAGTGGGGCAATACTTGTCCGTAGCCTCAGAGGGTGCGGGTGTTCCTTTTCGCGTGCTCATTAAAAAGGACTATGAAAATAAAACAATCTACTGAGGTATTTTAATACATTCTTAAAGATGAAAGTTCAAGAATCACATTTCCGAACATTGAAATCGCACTGAGAATGTATTTGGTTTTGATAACATCGAATTGCACTGGAGAACGCTCATTTTCAAAAATAGAAATTATAAAAAATAGGCTCTCGAACTTCGATGGGACAAAACCTTTCTTTCAGATAATTCTTGTTTTTGACAATATTTCTACTGGGTCTTTCTTAAGTATGCGTAAAAAGCATGTGGCTGACTTCAAAATGAGAAGAAAAATTTCTCTAAACATGTGTCCACAAGTTATTCATTTCTGAGATACAAAGTGTCAAAGTTCGATTCTTTTTCCTGTTTTTTGTGAGTAAATTCAGAAATGAACGTGATATTAGAGTGAAATTTGGCATCTCACCCGAATATCACGGTTATTTTGGAGTTCATTCACAAAAAAACGAAATAACAATCAGAATTTTACATTCTGTATCTCAGAATTAATAACCTGCGGACATGTGTTTATTCAAACCTTTCTTCTTATTTTAACGTCAGCAACATGCTCCTGAACATTTTACACGTACTTAAGAAACACCCTGTATATGTAAAAATAATTTGGTTGGTTTCGTAAAAAAATATTGACCAAGAAATTTGTTAATTTTATATGGAAAATAATTGGGAGCCAGGGGGCCTTCACTATTTTGTTGCCCCAGGGCCTCCAGACCCCTGAATCCGGATCTGAATCACCTATAACTAACATACATATATTTTGCCTCGCAATTTCTTTATAACACACTTACACAGAACAAGTCTTTTCGAGGAAAATATGTTGTCAGTAGTTGTCTGAATAAAACTAACACATATTGACCACCCTATACCCCACACACTATTAGAAAGATTCTGGTTATAACATTCAATCCGAATATCTTATTCATTCTGATAGTAGGTCAACAAAAATGATCTGAAGTCCGAAGTTGGGTCACAGTATATTATCCTTTCAGGAGAAATAAAGGATAATATACTGTGGTTGCATTGAACTGTGGGTTGACGAGAGCCTAAAGCTTTCGAGCCATTCCCAAACCTCATTTTTAGATTGACCACAGTGAATCGCATGCGCATTCGCTCGTAGAACAACTTGAAAATTATTAACGAGATCATCGGGTGGTCTCGGGAGAAAGAAAAAAGATCCTTGAAAGATTGAATCACTATACAAATGATCACAGTGAGATGACGTCATACTATTAGTGGACAAGAATACAACTCCCTTGCCAATCTCAGCCTCTACAATTTCATTGCGAAAAATAATCATAAAAAAACACGAATCTCAGTATATCACGTAATGGGAATGGCTCGAAAGATTTAGGCACTTCTAAATCTTCGATATAAAAATCACTATCGCCCTCTACAGTTCTGGAAATGAAACTGAAACGCTAAGCTAAAGAAGGTAGCTGTAATGTTCCGATGTTGGTTCTGATTCGTCTCTACATGGATCGGCTATATTGTGTCGACTAAAAATGGATTCTTGCGTTGTGCGAAGCTGAAATATAAAACGCGGGTGATATAGACCTCTAGCGCTAGCGCATGTACGTTATAGTACGGATAGGAAATGACAAATTACCGATTCGACAAGAAATCTGCAGAGGTTTTGGAGCTAAACCGTCACCAGCTCGTCAGATGACACTAGTAATACAGTAGATCTACAGTGAGAGTCACTGTAAGTAGGTGGAGAAAAAAAGGTGTGGGAATTTTGGGACATTTATGATTGTCTTCACTAGGTTTACAGACAAATACGAAATAACGAAGTTTTTGTAGCAGTTGAACAAATCAGGTGTTTCTCAGGATATCGCTATTATTACATTGTCCTGAAGCACTGAAGCGTATCAGTGTTGGCGTGTATGGCTTGTACAGTAAATGGGGACACACTTGCCTTCTTTCCACACCCACACATATATGAATGAAAAATTACTTCAATTCAGTTTATTTATGTACAGGGTGTCCCGGAATCACATAGAGAGATTTCCATCACAGATTCTAGAAACAAAAATGGTGAAAAAAGTTTATGTAAACATGGGTACAGAAATGGCCCCCTCGGGAGTTATAGATATCTAAAGGGGATTTATGTAAATAGTTCCGAAACCATCTGTGTTGAGATAACGAAATTTTGTACAGGGTGATTCACCATAACAACTTGATTTTTTCAAATGGAACACCCTGTATTTCATTATATTTTTATATTTTCCCTGAAGAGCTGATTTCAGCAATGTATCACACTTGGGGTCTAGCGAGAATGATTACAGATATATGGGGTGATAAAAATCGAGATTTTTCAACTTTAGGATTTTTTGTGTCGAAACTATTCATTATTGGTCAAAACGGCTTCAATGTCCCTATATTAACTTTTGATTAACTATCTAATGACATTCAATTGGAACATATACAGTGTGATTCAAGATTCAGAATTCTGACCACCCTGTATCTGTTCCAATTGATAAATGTCAGGAGATAGTGAATCAAAAGAGAGATACGGACATGGAAGCCGTTTTGACCAATAATGAATAGTTTCAACACAAAAAAATCCTAAAGTTGAAAAATCTCGATTTTGAACACCCTATATCTCTTAATCATTCCCGCTAGACCCCAAGTGTGATACATTGATGAAATCAGTTTTTCAGGGAGAATATAAAAATACAATGAAATACAGGGTTTTCCATTTGAAAAAATCAAGTAGTACTCTGTAGATCATTTGGTCCGAGCACCCTGTATTTTCTGATGCAACGGAAAATTTTTTTCTGAAAAATCAGTTTAGATGATTTTTCAAATTTTCAAATGGGTTCAATAATAAGCGAGCTAAAGGGGGGGAACATTTATGGTGAATCACCCTGTACATGAATATAACTTTTCATGCCCGATTTGGAAATAGCAAGAATTTCCTGAAATTTTGATCAGGGGCATGGGAAATAGGTGCGGCTAGGAAAATTTCTTCCCCCAACTTTTTTTCATTGCAATTTTCGGTAGTTTGATCAGGAAATATGAAAATATCATAATTTTTACTTGAAAATAATACTCCTGTTCAGTTTCGATAGCACTCACCATTTTCGAGATGAATCGATTTTGATACAGCTCTCTTTCAGATGGCTTTAACTTCTCAGGGGGATATTTCTGGGCTCATGTGTATATAAACTCTTTTTACTATTTTTGTTCCTAGAATCCGTGGTTGAAATTTTCTATGTAATTTCGGGACACCCTGTGTAACAATATTATTACTTACCTATCCCAATTTCTTTAAACTTCAATTTTAACGTCAGGGA